TTATGGGGACCCGCAAAATGGTACCCCTAATTTTGGGAAACCCTAAACCCTAAACCCTATATCCCCCTATATAACCCCTATAATAACCGTTATAACCCTCCCCCCAAAATAGGTAGACAGCTTAAGAATTCCCGTGTGGTAGAAAGGTGCAGGCATACCAGGCACAGCCAGCAAACTGAGGTCATGTTGGGACTATGGGTTTAGGGTTTAGGGTTTGGATAATGGAAACGAGAGTGACAACTAGGATTTCGGGTTTCGGGTTTAGGGGTATATTGGGAAAACGGAGAAGGAAATGGAAACTACTATATATATATATATATTAGGGTATATTTGGGGTTATATAAGGGTCATACTGGGATAATGGAAAAGAAAACGGAAACTACAGGGATTATAGGGGTTATATGGGAGTTGGCTGCGGCTGGGTTTGTAGCCCTTTGAGCGCCTTACTGGGAGGACTCTGTCCTGTTCGAGAACATTGCGGCTTGCTGAGTTAGCTAGGGGTCTGTGGCTGTGCAAGTTTAGGGTTTAGGGTTTAGACCCTTATACCCTACCTCTTTTTTATGGTTTAGGGTTTAGGGTTTAGAGTGAAACCGCACAATTTGGATGTATGAAGTGCAAATCATCGCAGGGGTTTCTTACTTTTCTACGGCTCTGACTGGTGCTTCGTGTCAAGGTGGAGGTTTGATGCGCATTTGCGCAATGAACCTTATGACTTCAGATAGACCAGATGGATGTTAAAGTGGACATGGTTCAAGAGCCGTCAGTGACCTGGAAAATCCCGCGTAAGCAAAAGGAAAGCAATCGAACACCCTGAGACTTGACAAAGAACGGGCAGACTTTGACTCTCATGAGCCTTGAAGCCCACAGCGAGGATCCGCAAATCCTAGGGTTGAGGGTTTAGGGTTGCAAGATGTGCGCCGGGAAACGCACGCCTTAATCCTGGGATCCTATCCGAGTTTGATCAGACAGGAGTGTACAACCCTGATGACTGAAGGCTGAACCCTAATACAGACCCATGATTTATAAACCCCCTCCTTCTAAGGGTCGTAATTATTAGGATCCCTGTCATAATCCCTGTAAAGGGAAGGGATTTCTTAATCAGGGGTCTGGGCCAAACCCGAAACAACGTGCAACCCGAAGAGGACTGCATAACTCCGAAGCTTCAAGGCCGACGAGATATCCCCGAAAACACACCGGTATGCGTCCTGCCATTCGGAAAAACTCAGGTTTAGGGTTTAGGGCTAAAATACGAGAAAGATGATCAATAGGCAATACACTCCGCACACCGTTGTTCGTTTTGAACCCAGCTCCTCCGTTGAAGTTGTGTGTTTGCTTTGCAAAACGACATGGTGACGGCCAAAAGCGATAAGTCCAGGTCATGTGCTCGAGGTTGCCCGAATCCTGCGAAGCGATAAGATTCTTCATGCGAAGTCTCTAAATCCTGCAAGACGATGAGGTGACTGTCCGGAAGCCATAAGAATTCTGGGAGGATTGGGTCTGGGTTCAGATGAAGCCGAAACGGCAAGCAAAAAGAACCAGAAGCATAACACGACAACGGAAATCAGCAAACCAAGACACCACCTGGGGCACCGCCGTGGCAGTGAGATGTAGTGAGTTAGGTTTGTCGGCAGACAAATGGTGACGGGCAGTACGGTTTCGCAAATTGTTCAGCAGTGATGTTTGTGGTGAGATCCAGAGTCGTACTAGCCACAGTGCAGCCTTTTGCATTAATGCTAGGCCCTTCAAGTCAAAGGCAGACCCATGTACGCAAACCAAGAACATTCACAATGTTCATTCTGTTGGACGCTGATCTGCTGGGGCTGGAGTGCATCCTAGACTTCATGGACGGTTAAGGTGCCCTCGAAATCCACTCCTGCAAAGAAGTCCAAGACGCTTGCCTGCAGCTGGCATTTGAAACAGAGTTTTTGAGTAATTTGAAACGGTAGCTTCCCTGGATAGGGGGACCCCAACATAGACCCCCAAATACTACAATCCTTTTATCTATATATATATGTACATATATATATATGTATATAGGGACCCCAAAAAGGTACCCCTAGGTAACCCAAGCCTTGGGAAACTCCCAAACCAGGCATGCCATTCCGAAGGCCGCATGTCGCATAGGTTCCACACGGGCCACAGTATGCTGGGTTGCTGTTAAGGAATTTGAATTAAGTTGCCATAATGGGTACATAGGGTTTAGGGTTTAGGGTTTAAGTTGCCATAATGGGTATAAATAGTAATTAATATGGCTTACCCAATATAGTAACTTAGATTAAATTCCTTAACAGCAACCCAGCATGTCACGGTTCGACGCCGTAGGATGGCTGCCAGCATAGCCCTACCGTCTCTGGCAACGAGACGCAGGACCCAAGCACCATGTCGCCTCGTGTGAAAGTGCCAGTTAGTTGCTGGAGAGATGACAGCGTGCAATCTAAGCCATCTGCTATGGCAAGAACCTGCTGTGTGGCGCCTGCATGCCAACACATTGCTGGCAAACTTTGAGTAGACACAAGCCGAGCCACATCTGCTTCCTTCGGAGATGTTTACTCTGTTTTAGTATGCTGGGCGCCCAGACTTCGCGGGCCCTTGGTATCAGGCGTAGTCCTGCAACAGCCATGTGTATTTGCTGTTCTAGATTACCGTGTGAGCTCTTATGATCACTATCCTCGCAACCTTAGTCCCCGTCAGGCGCATGTCCTGGTTTACCAAGCAGTCCGAGAGAGGAAGCAAGATGAGGAACATGCAGGCGACCTCTTCAAGTGCACCATCAGAATGGCTGTTGAAGTCCACAGGCTTATCCCAAAATATTACCTAAACCTTATATGACCCATGTACAACCCAGTATAAAAACCTCTATATATCCTGGATACCCCTTATACTGTTGATGGATGAAATCTTGCACCACCTAGAGGCCCTAGACTATTGTAATTCCTAGGACTTTAGGGACTTAAGCTGGTGCAAGATTTCCTCCATCAACAGTATCAGGTCCTGACTAGGTCTCTGCGCTGTTAGGCTAAACCAGACTGACATGGCAAGGCTCCCTTTGGGGAGCCCAAACTCCCAAACCAGGTGCCTTCACTCCCTTTGTTTACGGGTGTACGGTTCAGGGTTTAGGGTTGGGTTCAGGGTTTAGGGTTTAGGATTTAGGGTTTAGGGTATCAATACACCCAATAGGGGAGTTTATCAAACCTACCCTTACCACTGAATCCTTAAACGGGGCCCCCAATACCCGCTTATAATCCTTCTACATAAATTTGGGTAGGTCCCCCATTTTCAAATACAGTGCCATTGGATAGTAGTGGGAATATTTACTACTAGGGGACTGGGTGGTTAGTATTGGGGGGAGTAGGTGTTTGCAGGGTGGAAGCGTAGTATATAGACCCCACAATACTGAAATCCTTATTATGGGGACCTCTAAAATGGTTCCCCTAGTTTTGGGAAAGCCATGCGTATCTTGGCTCACTTCGGCAAATTCTGGTCTGCGACGACCGCACGAAGATCCAGCCATCATTTCACCGTAGTCCAGCAGTTGCGTCAACAGAATCTAGAAGAATAATGACAATAGCAATGTCAATAACGGTTTAGGGTTTAGGGTGCCATAACCATAGTGATAATCACAGTAATGACAATGGTTGGAACAATCGCAAGAATAATGGCAATAACAATGACCATAGCAGTAACTGCAAGCAGGGGCAGTGTAACAAGGCCTTGCGACAAGTGTATGACAAGCATACCAGGCTTAAAGGCCCATTAGACCTGACTATTTCTGACACATGGCTAGAGCTTTGGGGCTTAGGGTTAGGGGTTTTCGGACAAGATTCTGTTCGAAGTAGCCAGTAGCCAGCCAGTACATTGAGTTCGGAGTTAGGCCATCCTAAGTGACAAAGTGGTTGAGGTGACCATCTCAAATCCTACAATGCCGTCCATCTAGGGTTTAGGGTTTAGGGTCCCCATACTATATCCGGGTACCCTTAGTTTGGGAAACTACGGTGGATACTAAAAATCCTGCATGACCCTAAGTACCTTATACCTTGGGAATTATGGGACTATAGTACACTAAGGTCATGCATGATTTTTAGTATCAACAGTACCATGTCTGTCTTGCAGGTCCAGCACAAGCCACAAGTAGCGAGGCTGTCCATCCAAGAGAAGGCGGGTAGGATCAAAGCCACATGGGGGATTGTCAAAATTATGGTCCCTTTTTGGGTCCCTATTATAATACGGGGCCTAATACGGGGCCTAATTTAGGGGCCTAATTTAGGGGACCCCCAAAAAAAACTATAATTTTGACAATCCCCAACATACTGTTGATATTACAAATCCTCTCCATAACACGCATCATAGTGTTTGGGGGTCTATATTGGGGTCCCCCTATTTTGGGAAAGTACTATAATACCAGTATTCCCAAGGTGTAAAGTACTTAGGGTCATGCAGGATTTTTAGTGGTCAACGTACCACAATTCACTTTAACCGCTACGCTTTGCCGATGAAAACGCTGCAGTGGTGATGTTCAGCATGATCACGACACTGACCCTTGATGGTAGCAGTGGCGATGATGAGTGGTGATGATGCGTTTCATCGGGGTGTCACCGTAGCTGGTCTTGCTGGTGCTGCTATATCTACATCAGTAAAGCAGTAGGATCTTTCGCTTTGCTGTTTTGAGATTGCTTATTGACCTGACCTCCTTTTTCCAAGCTTACTAGAAAGAGTTGCTCAAGCACAGATTGTCTTAAACTGTCATTGTGCTTGCTCAAGCTGTTATAACGTTTTGATGGATACGACACTTAAGCTTGATCTTGAGTTGTTGGTAACAGCCACAAACCCTGTAGTATCCCTTTATATAACCCTATAGTATCCCTATATAAGCCGTTTAACCCAATATTATCATAAAGGTCCCACTTTCAACAGTTACACTTTTGCGACTCCTGACTCGTGTGTGCTATGCGTAGTTCCGCCAAAACAGTGTGCCAGACCTCGGTGCTGCGTAGCTTGCACCTATGCCTGTGGACGGACATGTTTGTGCTTGTGGCTGTAACATCGAAATTTTCAGAACAGCCAGGGCTGGCCGGCTATAATAGGCCACATTGATCACCGACGCTTCCAGTGATGCCATCGCCCAGATCGTCGCATGCAACATGCATTTCCGGATTGCCTCTTCCGTTGTTCGTATATCTCGGTGTGCTGGGCGATGTTGTAAGTTCTGTGAGACTGAGAGAGAGGGTGGTTTCCATAAACAAGACCCCAATTTCGACCCCCCAAGTAATTAGTATAATTCTTATTATAGAGCCCCACATAGTTTTGGGAAATCCCAAGATGCATTGTCAGGAGGAAGTCGAGAAGCAACAGGGCCCTATGAGTGGCGGACTGTTTGGCAAGCTGCACCAAGAGCACCTTGCCTTAATTGAAGTAATAGAAATTGATTTAAGGCGTCTGCTTATCATGTACAGAAACAAGTGGACAAGAGATAATGAAATCGAAGCTGGGGTCATATGGTGTTCTAGAAATGACGCATGACGTAGGAACCGCCCCTGCAAGCTTTTCCAAGGATTGCGCGTAGGACCTCACGAGCTCCAAGGGCTAAAGTCCAATTCAGCAACGCCTTCCGCCCGCAAGGGTCCAAGAATAAGGGCCTTAATCCGTACAGATAGGCTTGCAAACCTACGGACGGCTTGTTCTTTCTCCAAGGAACATGAAGCTGAGTAACTGCCTGCTAGTGCTTTATGCGGAGACTGGCAATCTCTGCAAGTAATTGTGACCCAGGGGCTTTGAGGAGGGGTAGCTCTAAAGGGGTATATAGGGTTTAGGGTTCAGGGTGTTTGACAGGTCGTCCTGTTCTCTAAACTGCGCATTTCATTTCTGACTTCCAGCTGCAAACATGCTGTCAGCATGAGAACATGTTGTTTCAAGCCGTTGCGTATTTTCGGGATCTCTGCGTCATGTTTCGTGGAGGGATTGTATAGGGGTTTAAGAATGGCTTAGGGATCTCACCCCAACAGCGGAGAACCAAATGGAAAAGGAAATGGACAGTTCAATGGAAACTAGGGTTATATAGGTGTTTACATACATGTTAGGGAATAAGTGCTACCTCAAACAAGGATAATGCTGTCAGGTACTCCGTAGCTGCGGTCAGGAAGAACGTCGAGGACGGGCTGGAGTGCCTTGTTTGGAGCTGGATCCGTGTTGGCCTGTCTTTATGGTTACGGGCTCAGGGTAGAGATTGATCATCACACAGTGTGTGTTTGCTGTGTCACGTCCATGTGCGATAAGAAAGACTCAGCATCCGCGTGCAAGGTTTCACTAGTAAATGCTATATAAGTGAATAAATAGACGTATATATGTGTAGATAGAGTCATGTAGTGATCATATACAGTTATTACCCCAATAAAGCGCATCAAATGGACAAGAAACTGGAAAGTTATTTGGAAGTTCACCTAAGTATATATGAGAGGTTATTTCGGAGTTACACAAGATTTAGGGTTTAGGGTTGTATACGGGGTTGGGATTCCACAATTACGATCCCAGCTGCGTTTGCCCGTGAAAGGAAAGCCTGAGCCCCTAAACCCTCAACCCCATAGTAGTTCACATCTAATTTTACATAATGTTCCATGTTCTATTTCATTTTCTGGGTAATAACCCTACGTAATCTATAAGTGTATATATATATATATGTGTATATAAAGCCCTCTATATAGCAGCTTCCATGCCACTTTCCATTTTCTTTTCCAATTGATCTTCGAATCAGTGGGGTTGCATCAATCTTCACGCTCAGGTGGGATCGGATGGAAAGCATGCGAGCAGAGAATCGGTGTCTGGATATCGTGAGAAATCCGTGGTTCGAGCGCTTGACAATGACGGCAATCTTCTTGAATGCTGCTCCTTTGCGGAACCCCAAAATGACCTACTTGGAGGGTCAGGGGGACTTAGTAACTGGGTTGCTAATGGGGATAATTGAGGTTACTATATGGGTTATAGGGGTTACTAACCTGCTTACTAAGTCCCCCTGACCCTCCAAGAACCCCAAAATGACCTACTGTTAACATCCTTAAAGCCTTGAGACTGAGAAAACTGGGAAAAGGGTCACTCAGAACTTAGATTTGATGGCCGGTACCCACATGGAGTGCCCTTTGTTGGGTTGCAAAAGCAGTAATGACTGTAGCTCGAGTCATGATCACCGCATACAACTAGTTGTTTACCATGGGACCCAGGAAGATGAACACTGCCACCTCTTTTGAACATGTTTTGCGCTTGCTCACGCTTGGGGCTCCCTAGGTCGAAATGGCAGTCAATGCAGAGTTCAATGACTACACAGTCATCACTGATGCCGATCCGTTTTTCATTGTGGCGGAGCTTGTTTTCTGTGCCTTCTTCACTACAGAACTTGTGATCAGTGACTTGCCAGCAGCTCCCGGGGCAGGTAGCCAGTCCAAAGCAATGCATCCCGCAAGCATGGATGTTGCATCTTTAACGCTTCATGTGCAAAGCCTGCGTGAGGAAGTCTCTCAGCCCAGGATATGCCACTTACATAACGACCTGCCAAGCATTTAAAGATGCTTGGTTCTCATTCGACTTTCTGCTGGTCGTACTCATGAACTTCGAGACATGGGCATCTTGGTGCAAGCTCTGAGCATAACAATATTACTATTACTATTACTATATTACTATCACTATCACTATTACTATTGCTATTACTATTACTAGAACTATTACTATCACTATTACTATCACTATTGCTATTGCTATTCCTATTACTGATACCATTACTAACACTATGACTATTACTACGACTATCTATCACTATTACTCCCCATTCTTGTGGGGTTATAGTTGTTAGATGCTGTCGCCCGCCGGCCCGGCGGTTCTTCTTCCGTCGCGACGTTTCGGTCGCGCCCCAAGTCGACCCCAAGGCATCAGTTTTTTAAAATAACAACCCTGATGAAATCGCCTTTAAGGTGGTCTTCCGGACTCTCCCGAAAGTGAATAAAAAGATCCTCGTCGATTCGAGTAGTTTTCCGGACTCTCCCAAAATCGTCGATTTTCATTTAAAACATACGCTGGCACGTGGAGCATCCTGAATATTCTGTTTGGAATCGACGACCATTTCGTTGTTTTCGGCGGTTGGGAGCGCTGACGTGTAGAGCGTTTTGAGAATTCTGTTTGGAATCGACGACCATCTCGCTGTTTTCGGCAGGTGGGAGCGCTGGCGCATGGAGCGTCCTGCAAATTTGTTTGGAATCGACGCACTTCTCGTTGTTTTTGACGGCTGGGAGGGCTGGCGCGTGGAGTAATAATTTCCAATTTTTGAATGGGTCTGGAATTTAGGGGCGCACAGATCACACCAGATTTTGCATCTGCATTTTTCCAACGTTCACTGGACAAAATCTGGTGTGATCTGCGCAGCTGTCTCTTCTGAAAAAGCAGGACGTGCAGATCACACCCACATTTTGCCAGTCATTCGACTTGGGGCCGGTTTTGGAAGCTTCAACCCAAAGGCGGTCACTCTGGAACTTATTCGAAGAGCGAGTTGGGGCTGGCTTTGGGGGGGTCAAACCAGAGGCGGTCACTTGTCACCTTCTACCATTTATGTATGATGCGTGCAATATCGTCTATGAAGCCACCCCCTCCCCCCCTTTTCCCTTTCCCACATCACCCTGCCCGACTCCTTCTGCTCCTGCTGCAACATTCCACCACGCACGCCGCGATTCTTTGTCCCCGCGCGCCTCACACTTTGATTCGTCGCCGTTCGCCGTCTTTCCTCTTGTCCCTTCTCTTCCTCCTTCTTTTTCTCTCTTTCCCTGTCTCTTTTACATTCCGGTAAAGCTACACATGTGAGGTTATGCGGTCATTCACTAACTATTATTGCTACTTGCGTTTCTATTGTTATTGCTATTATTACTTGGGTACTGCCCCCACTCTGTAGCAGTCTTTATGGAGACTGTTACAGGGCAGGGGCAGTACCCAAACAATATACGGCCCAGCTTTCCCGTATTTCCCTTGTTTCTGCAGATCTAGTTCGGGAGCTGCTACTGCATCAGTCCGTGCATGTGCTGCAGGAAACACGTGTACATCAAATTTACTGCTACACCATTCATCTTGCTTGTGGTGAGATGAGTGGGATACTAGTAGGATTTGAAAGGGCAAGCACGTAGTGGACCCACTTATGCAGTTTGACATCCTTTCGGAGCATCTTGTTCTCGAGACATTCTGCACCTAAAGCACTGTTGCACGGTCATATCGCATGCCGCTGATGCAGATGTACTCGTTGTAGCATGTCGTAGCTTCCAGAAACAAATCGGGGTGCCCCCTGTAAACCCCCAAATATTATCATCCTTACAACACGGACCCCCAAAGCCCGTACACCGGTGCATATGGTGTGGTCGGGCTTGGGTCTTAAGGGAAATGAATACAACACATGAGATGGCATATGAGGACTGATGTAAGGAATCAACCCATTCAAAAGCCTAACAGCAAGTCAGACCCGTTCTAGCCCTGCCCTTCTTGCTCCCTCCTTCCCTTCACCCAGAAGCAAGCCAAACACAAATGGGCATGCATTCCCTAATTCGTTTCTGTTTCGTTTCTGTTCGGTCAGCTGAACCGTCAGCAACGGCATATTTCGGGGAATGTTTTCGGCAATGGCTTTGTTCGGGCAAGCGGAAGCTGCAGCTATAGAGCGCAGGTATGCACAGAGGATGTTGTCTAGAGCGCTGGTAGTGCTCTTGGTGTACTGTCGGTTTTTTCTTTGGCATGTTTTTTCATGTCCTCCTAGTCTCACACTTTTGGGGTCTAGGCTGGCATAAGTAAGTTCAGTTCGATTGATTGTAAATCTAGGTTTTTAGCCTAAGCTCCCCAAGCCATGTGTCAACATTGAGTCAACAGTATCATTAAAAGGGTTCCAATGCCCAGAGTGACCTGAAAGCTGACGAAGCGCAGATGGGTCTTGCGTTGGCATAGAGGGTGTGGGGTATCGTGCAGTGCACAGCCCCACGTAATGGTTTCATCAAGGTCAAGTTCGTTCTCTTCTCTTGCTAAGGTTTGTCTATTGGTATGGCTCTGTATATTGCTGAGCCTTGCCGCCCGCTCAGGGCTGGGGCTTGGGCACGTGGAGGTTGATGCTCATGGGATGGGTAGGGTGCACTGCAACCAGGACTTATCACTCGAGTCAATGAACCGGAGGCTGCGACGGGAGCTCGCAGCTGTCTTGAATCGCGAGCGGGCTGCTTCCGGTATGGTGCTTGCTGCGGCCCTCGTTCGGGCTCCGGTCCTGGCAAACCAACCCTGCATCCGCTCTGTTGCCGCCTGTTCTCTGCGCAGCGCGCCTCTGTCTGAGCCCCGACCCGACGCAGGGCGCTGAGGGTTGTCGAACTTAGGAGGCCTGCAAACCAGGCCATGCTGCACCTGGGTTGCCCGCACTCCGAGCTACTCACAAAAGGGGCTGGGTCAAGCATGCCAACGAAGTCCCACATTGACAGGTGCTATGTTGCCAAGGTGTGTGCTGAAAGTAGAGGCTGCTCGCAAAGCTGCGGCTGCCTCTGCTGTGCATTGCAGGCTACAGGTCTCCTGCCGGAGTCTCCGGAAACCGCGGCGGCCTTGTGCCAGTCGGTCTTCAGTTGCCAAAGCTTGCGCAACCCTAAACCCAGGGCTGTCCAGCTTCAAACTTCGCCTTCCATGAGGCTTCTGCACCTGGTTGGACTGCGAGGTTCCTCCAGTCCTGACTGGTGCTGGGGTTATACATGGCAGTTCTTTTCAAGAAGAAGAATATTTTCAGAAACAACTTAACAATTATACCACCAAGAAAGCCCAGACGCACACATTCCCGGCCTCATTTCCTGCTTCATGTCCGATCGTATGTCCACTCATTTCCGGTTTCAGTTCCGACCTCCTTTCTGCTCATGTTCTTTCCCAGCCCATTTATATACAACCCCAATATACTATAGTAGCTTCCAGATTCTTTTTCACTATCCCAATATATTCCCTATAGAACCCCTTAGGCCCTATGTAACCTCTATAGAGTCTTTCTTTTCAAGCCTCCTTGCCAGCTTCAAGTCAAGTTGTCTTTCGGTTCATCTGTTGAAGATTTCTGCTGTCTTTTCCGGCCCATTCCCTGCTCCTTTTCAGCTTTTGCTTCCAGCTTCTTTTCTGCTTCTTGGCCTCCTTTCCAGCTTCGTTTCGGGTTGTATTCCCGCTGATTTGTGGCTTCTTTCCGGCCTCCTCTCGCAAATTGTGTTTTGTTGTGTGTTCCGTCCATTTGCTGCCGATTTCCGCTTTCATGTTGAGCATCTTTTCCTGCCCCATTTCCGCGCGTTTTGGGCTTTTGTTCCAGCCCGTTTCGATTTCATTTGCGGGGCCGAAGCATGTACTTCATAACCTCTTGATATCAAGGACGAGCTTAGAACTAGCCAAGCAAAGGCAGCTGCATTACCGATCCTCATTGCCATGCCCGTTTCCGCTTTCATTTCCGGCCTCGTTTCCAGCTCTGTTTCCGAGTGTTTTAGGTTCATGTCCTTCTGTTTCCACAGCATCGCTATCTGCTTTCATTTCTGAAGCTTCAGTTGTGTGTTTCTGTTTATTTCCTGCCCATTTCTGGTGTCTTTTCTGTTTTCATTTCCGGCTTTATTTCTTTTTTCATCTTGTTTCCTGTTGTATTTCCGTTCATGTCTGACCCATGTCATGTCTGGCTTTTCCGGTCCATTTCCGGCCTCATCTGAGGGAAAATAAAAAGAACGCTCTGCAAACTCATATATCCCTATCACATATCTCCTATAACCCCTTTAAAGAGGCCCTCGGCTCTTGCAAATGTAAAAATGCTTCGTGAGGTCTTCCCGCTTCTGCAAGCGGTCGGGCAGGGCACAGAGACGCTAAGCACTGCAAATGCGCTGCGAGTGGCGCGCGTCCTGCGGGTACTTCGAACAGTGCCTCCGCATGCAAAAGCAATCCCTACAACAATTTTTATCCCTGATTGCATCTCCACATACACCCCTTTGAAGGGACCCAGAGTTTCCAGGTTGCTTTTAACTTGATTTTCCAATATTGGGATAATTTCCTATGTAATAGGTAACAACAAAATTGGTCACGGCCTTCGCATCATTGATCTACAACACCTGTACCAAGAACGGATCACTGAATCCATTTGCCCGAAGCTAGCTGGGACATTTCAGTTTAGAGGGTTTAGGGTTGTGCGACTGAACTGTCAAGAAGCTGTTGTGCCCCCTTCTTGCCCTCTCAGATCCCCAAGCCCTGGATGAGTGGTAGGTTTTGAAGAGTTGTGCTTGAAGGTGCAATTTTTTTGATTCAGGGCTTATGAGGAGGGGTGGTCTGGAACGTGTGTGCCGTGGTGTTTGTCGATAGTAATAAAGATAGAAAGAATAATAGTAATAATAAAACACAGTAATAACAGTAAAATGAAAAGAATACAAATCATGGTAATACCTAAACCCCCAAAGTAGGTAAAATAATTGCCCAAAACCCCTAAATATAGCCCAAAAGGCCATTATTCTACATACCTTTGGGGGTCCAGGTAATGGTATCTCTAGCCCTGGAGGGATCTAGCGCCTCAGCCAGGTTGACAGCCCGGGGTTGACATGAAGTTGACACCTTCGGGGGGCTATCATCGTACACGCAACGTCATCTACAATTACTTTATAACAATATTGAGAACAAAAATGTAAGCATGATAATAGTAACCGTAAGAATAGTAAAATAGAAATAAACGAATCAGAATGATGCCAGTTGCAAGAGTTGAGGTGTAGAGGTGTAGCGGCACAACAACTCGTGTGTGAGGCCGCAGGCTGTTTGCCTGATTAGAACTGCTTGCTGCTTGCACCCTGAACCCTAAACTCTACACCCCTTCCCCCCCCCCGCCCAAAAAAAATTCAGCTGGTATTCAAGCTGCCTGTCCTGCTTGCTATGTCGCGCTCGCCAGCATGCCCCACACTGGTGGACAGTGATATTGGGGTTATGTTGGTTTAATGGAAAATAAAATGGAAACACTGTAAGGGGTTATATAGGGTTTAGGGTCTTAGGATTCGTATGCCGGGTGCATCACTCTGCAGCTCCTCACACTACTTGGAGGGTCAGGGGGACTTAGTAGGTTAATAACCCCTATAACCCACATAGTAACCCAAATGATCCGGATCAGTAACCTCTAGTTACTAGGTCCCCTCACCCTCCAGGTAAGGCTTCATGCAACAAAGATCAAAGAAGGCACTAATCGTGTTCTAATCCTGACAGCTGCTGCAACGTCCCGCAAGAGAGGCTCCACGTGGGCTATGCTCAAACCCTTCCCCGCAGAGCTCTCCCTGGTAGAAACCGCAGATACGGAAGTTAGGATCCGCTATCTGGATCAGGAATCCTAGACCTCATCATTGAAGATAGCCGTTTCTGGATTAATTATGTGGTTTCTCACGTGGCCCCTGCCTGCTGTCCAGGCTCGGATGGTGGCTTTGCTGCAAAATCCGTGAGAAGCCTTGCACACGTGCTGTAAGCAGAGTCTAGCCATGTCCGACATGCAGATTTCAATTTCTGCTCTTGGTGTGGAGGAGGGGCCGCATGCACAGAAGAGCCTGAATTTGCTGGGTTGCTGTTAACGAACTTAAGTTAAGTTACCACAATGGGTATATATAGTAAATAATAGGGTTTCCCCAATATAGTAACTTAATTTATGTTCCTCAACAGCAACCCAGCAATTTGCCCCATTTCCTTTGGTATGTGCCAGGCTCGCCTCGTGAAGCTGATGCCAGAATTGATGATCCTGGTAAAGGGCATGCTGGTGGCCTGCCGTTCGGTCTTTTTCACACTAATCCTCTTACTCCTCATCACGTTCGTATTCAGCATCACGTTCATCGAGTTCAGCCGTGGCAATGAAACTCTGGAACACGAATACTTCTCCTCTATGGGCACTTCTATCCTGACGTTGAAGCTTGGACCGCAAGGCCTGGAACTGTATAGTTTTTGGATTGCAGTATGACTTGACTGTTGCTGGCGACGTGACAGCCTGCTCCTAAGGATATTGAAATGCATCCTGCCGGATCAATCAGCGTCTTGGAATAATTTAACTCTTGGCTGTTTTCACTGCGAAGGGGTTAGCACCCCAAGCCTCGACTTCACCAACAGGCTCATTGACATGCCGGCCTTTTTTCAGAGCTAGCGTGCCCTCACAGAAGCTTGTGGATTTACTGGGTTGCTGTTAAGGAACTTAAATTAAGTTACCATAATGGGTATATATAGTAAATAATAGGGTTTCCCCAATATGTAACTTAATTTAAGTTCCTTAACAGCAACCCAGTTTATGACCCTAAACCCTAAACCCTAAACCCAATACCCTAAACCCTAAACCCTGTGGATTTTGTGTTGTTCCAAGGTCTTCTTCAACCGGATCGCTGCGGAGAGCTGGCCTCTGGGTGCCCTCGTTTTGTTGTTCCTGGATCAATGTTAGGGATCCTTTAAAAGGGGGATATAGGGGTTATATAGGGATATTATAGGGATATATGGGGTTTAGGGATCCTTTTTATACTTTTTGGGGGTATGGGGTTCCTTATATTTTTGTAAAAAGGATCCTTTTTTCTTCCTGGGGTAATATGGGCTAAGGTTCATCTTGCTGGGATCCTTTACAGTCAGGAGCTCAGGCCTTCCAAGAGTCAGATTCCGCTCTTAAATATAGTAGTTTCCATTCTCTTTTCCATTATCCCTATTTAAATATAGTAGTTTCCATTCTATTTTCCATTATCCATAAATATGGTAGTTTCCATTTTCTTTTCCCTTATCCCTATTATAGCCCCAATATACTATAGTAGCTTCCATTTTCTTTTCCATTGGGAGAGTCCTGGGTACCGGAGCATCTTCCTTTCAGGACCTTGGATTCGGACAGCAGTTTTCAACTGCGACATGCTCGTCTGGGTTCCTACAGATATGTAAGTCATGGTGGCAGCATTGCCTGGATTGTGGTGACAGGTAGCACTTGTGCGTTCCAGTCGTAGTTGGGCCATATGCGTGCCACGCGTCGCTTGTGGCGGAAAGGCAGATATGTTACTCCATTGCTCGGTCAGCGGGAGTGTCCGGCTCTGAACCTGACGAAGCTATACTTGGCTAAGGTCATGAACATGCTTTTGGGCGTCCTTGTCGAGGCTGTTAAAACAGTGTCGACGATTGAGAGAGAGCAGCTTGATGCGGACTTTGCCAGGAAGGCACCTTGGTCCAACTCTGGTGACAGTGGGAAGCACTTACAAGTCATGTGCGGGAGCAGGTGTGGCACTGGTACTGTACCCGTACACTTTTCTTATGTGCTCGATGCATCCTTTGACTTCAATCCACCTGATACATTACAGTAGCTTCCATTTTCTTTTCCAGTATCCTTATATAATCCTAATAATGTTGGACCCTCTCTAATAAGAAGGGGTCCCCCCCCAACATTAGGGCCCTCCGAAAAATGGAAATTAGGGATCCTCAATACGGCGCCTGGAGCTCCCACGGTTCTGAGTTCCCTGTGGATTGATTTAGAAGGGATTGTTGAGAATCCTTTCTATTTTTAGGCCCCCAAAATCAAAGCTCATTATAGGGGGCCTTGCAATCATTGCCCTAATCCTGAATAGGCGGGCCCCGAAACTCATTATAGGGGATCGGTTCAATAAAGGAGGTCCAACATTATACTACACTAGTTTCCATTTTCTTCCCATTATCCTTATACAATCCCAACATGCTACAGTAGTTTCCATTTTCTTTCCATTATCCTTACATAATCCCAATATACTATAGTAGTTTCCATTGTCTTTTCTCCTTACATTACCCTTATATACTACAGTAGTTTCCATTTTCTTTTCCATTATCATATGATTGCCTAAACCCTAGACCCTAAACCCTAAATCCTAAACCCTAAACCCTAAATCCTAAACCCTAAACCCTAGACCCTAAACCCTAGACCCTAAACCCTAAATCCTAAACCGTAAAACCCTAAACCCTAAACCGCGTGGCTCTTTGAGGTTCTGTGGGAGCTCATCGATAAGGAAGGAGATGAAGATGGAGACAACCTGCTTTCGGAGAAGGCCTGCACAAGCGCCCACAAGTCCTTGCAATAGGGACTAATCATAGAGATAATGGAAAAGAAAATGGAAGCGACTATAGTATAAGGAATTCCGAGCTGCCAGGAGTTTGTGAGCCTAAACCCTAAACCCTAAACCGTGTGGCTCCGATCTGCCAGGAGTTTGTGAGCCTGTTGCAGAAGCCCAAGGCGGCCAAAGCCTTGATGAGTCTGGGAGTGGACCTCTGCCTGGCAGTTTTGTTTGAGCTTATAATAGTGTCATAGGGGTATATATTAGGGTTATATTGGGGTTATATAGGGATAATGGAAAAGAACATGGAAACTACTATTTAGGATTAAGGGTTTGGGATTTGGGGTTTGGGGTTTAGGGTTATAGTCCCCCTTAAGTAGATAGAATATGGGGTATGTGGGGATCTTATCATAAGATACCCAAAGCTATATTCTATCTACTTAAGGGGGACTGTAGGCTTCAGGATGTTCAGCTTCTAGATGCCCATCTGGGCACGTCCATTTTTTGAAGATTACGTGAGGCTTTGAAGGTTGTTTGCGCATCTTCAGTTGAGACCTACTTCGCCCTGGATTTCGAAGGCTTTTTTTGTAATGTCTGGCTTGCAGCTGGATGGGAACGTTCAGCTTGAGTGTTGGGGCGGGATCAAGAGTATGTAGGCTCTTCTGCTACGGTGTCATCGTATCCAGGGCCATGAGTTGAGGGACCCTGGGCCCTTAAACCCTATAGGCCCTAGTCTCTAAACCCTTAAACCCTAAACCCCAAAACCTTGAACCCCAGCCCCTTAACCCTAAAGCCCTTAACCTTAAACCCCAGTCCTTGAACCCAAAACCCCCCTGTTCGAAGGATGTGCAAGCGGCCTACGACTACGGTAAGCTGCTTTTTGAGGATGGACTCTCAGCAGCAGAAGGTATCTCTTCAATTGGGGTTGTCCTAAAATATATGGGTTCAGGGTTTAGGGTCCCAAAATTAGGGGTACCTTTTAGGGGGGATATGAGAGCGGTTATGTAGGAGTATATAGGGGGATGTAGGGCTTAGGATTTCCTAAAACTAGGGGTGCCTTTTTGGGGGGTCCCTATAATAAGGATGACAGGATACTGGGGTCTATGTCAGATCGTTTTATTCAGGGAAATTACCAACTGTTCACAGTCACCCATTTTTGAACACATGATGGCTCGATATGCACTACCAAGAATCCTGCTTCAATCCCCAAGCCCGCACCCTTGGCTAAGATCCCGAAACTTCCAACCTCAAGCCTTTTTGAAGGCAAAAGCAGGAAGTCTGCCCCCAAACTGCATCCCAGGTGAAAAGGCATCATTCATGGATTTCATGTGGCTTGGCGCAAGGACATGCCAAGAGGGCATAATGTTATGGCTTTTTGCCGACACCCCCAAGGATTCACACCCCACAATAGGAAAGCCCGCCATGGTCGAAATGTAGCTGCGTGGCCGAGATCTAAATCACCACAATTCTCCAAACCAATGAACTTTACGAATCGAACCAGACTTTTAGCAGGATGACAGGATCTGAAGCGTCACTTGTGCATAGGACATGTCGGCCTGCTCTTGCACGTCGGTTGTCAAAAGACAAAGATGTGAACAGTCTTGACAAACTTAACGTGTGCAGACAGCACATTGAAGACAAGCCTGGACTGGCTTCCCTGTAAGCCATGTTGCATGGAAGGCTACAGTACCAGCAGCACCTGTTCGCCATATTTCGCCATTTTGTCTAATGTGCGTCTTTGATTTATGGAATCGAATAAGGGCCCCAGTGCTGCGGTTACTGTGTTTTCTTGGAAACCCCAATATACCATATGGTCCATTTTCTTTTCCATTATCCCTATTATACTATAGTACTTTCCATTCTATTTTCCATTATCTATTTGAGGTCTTGGGGGTGAGGTGGTCAAGCGGTCCTGGTTCCATTTAATTACTCCAATGGACATGAGGCAAGCGATGTTGACGCTCCGCGGCTCCAACAAGACCACAGTGAAGGAGAGATTGCCTGACAAGCCTCATAGCTCAGACCTCCAGACGGCTCTCAGAGGTTCTTCAAAGGTACTGTACAATAGTTGGGTGCATCTGATGACATTTGTCTGCATCCCTAAACCCTAAACCCTCAACCCTAAACCCTAAACCCGTGGATCATACATCGCAAACCAGTCCACCGCGAAAGTCCTCATCTTGTATCAGCCTGCTCGTCGCAGAGTCCGACAGGCGTGCTTTGCTTACTTAGCTAATAACAATATTAATAGTAATGGCAATAATAATAGACATAATACTAGTAATAATAATAGTAATAGTAATAGTAATAGTAATAGTAATTGTAATTGTAATAATAATTGTTTTTGGCCTGAAGTGCGAATGCGGGCCTGAAAGGATTGTGAGTTTTCATAACAGCGGTGTTTTCGGGCTTGCTGTGGTGAGGGGTGGGAGGATGGGGTGGGCAGGGGCAAGGGGGGGTTAAGAGCTAGCTCCCGGAGGGGTTCTACTTCAAAAACATGAGGATTTAGACTGATGTAGAACATAACAAGAAATCCACGACGCGGTTTCCGCCACAAAACGCAACTATTTTGCAAGCACGAAATTGTCTATCGTGTGAAAACAAGAGCAACATGCAGGAGCATTCCCAACTGATTGCCGAAATTCTCCGTCACATCACTTGCGTGGGCTTGGCACGAGCACCAAGTTGAGGCAATGAAGCACATCTCCAAGCCTACCATCACGCCTCAGAAAGGACAAGTCAGCTAACGCACCCCCGCGATGAAGGACACGGTATCTGAAGAAAAAACAAGGATTGAATACCGGCACGTTTTTAAACCTGCATGCCTAGCGAGAGCTTGCCCAGGAAGTTTCGTATCCAGGTATCAAGGCAACTTCCGCTTGCATCTTGCAAGCAGCATTCGTCAACAGCAAGTCGCACTCCCGCAAAGCCTGGGTGCCTGGCAGAGACTATTTTTTACGGCTAGGTATTCCGCCAAGTCTGCAGTGAAGTCAGCCAGAGGCATTTTTGAGACTATTAAGTTATAGTCACTTTCACCCCTCCTTATGCAGAGATTACAGAGAAGCAGCTCACAACTTGAATCACAGCTCACATGATGTGAGAGGCTAGCAAGTCATGGGCATCAAGCATCTGCAGCATCATTATCATTGGTCAGTGTTGGTCAAAAGCCTGATCGTAAAGGTTAGCTCAGCCAGACAGCACTTCCTATCAATGCTGCCTCCATACGAATTACTCCATGACGGGGCAGATGCGTTCACCTCCATAGATGAGATGACGCTTGTCCACAAGCTGAGACGACGTGAGGACATTGTTGAGCTGCGGAAGTTCCTGTCTGAAGAGTTCCATCAAGTTGAAACTCTCGTGTGTGACGCGGTGAAGACGGTTCAGGGCACATTTAAGTTCTTTTGTTCCAGGTCAGTTCCCAAAAGGCAGGTTGTGCTGACCTCTTTACGGCCCCTGCAGTGTGGCATCATCTGACATGTGTTCTGTCACAAACTGATGAAGAGCAAGCTCGCACTTGACTTTTGACATCGTACTGTTCTGCTCCCAGGCGAGCTTTGTAATTTCCTCGGAGAGCATCTGGAAGCAAGCTCTGCTTCGGTGTATGCCACGCCCAGGCCTTGTACGTTTGTCATATTCTGCATTGCTTCGGGGGGGTTGCGTAGTGGTGAGCTGATACTGCTGAGATCTGGATTGATACCCGCTTGCCCGTCGACACGTTCAGTTTCAGTTCAACAGCAAGCTGAGACAGAGGGACTAGCGGAGTTGTAATTCAACTGCCCTGCCCAAAGAAGATTGCCAGAGTGTTGCGTCAAGTCGGCCTCAGCTTGTTTGCGCTCTGCGCAAGAGCCATTGCACCATGCCTTTGCAGAAAATTCTAAAAATACCGCAGTCTTCAAAGCTGGTTGCGTCCAAGATGTCCAAGTAGAGAACCTGAAGCTGGTCACTTGCCCGAGGTCTGCTTCACCCCTCTAAGAAGTGCGATTATTTGCGCTAATCTACGCATATGCGGTTGCGGATGGTTGCGGCATATGTGAAGACTTCCTCTGGTACCTGTGCGTCTTGCGAGCTGGGAGGAACGACTTCTCAAACCACTCAGATGATGCTGGCTCTCCGCAGATAGGAGGGCAACTTGATTGCAAACTAGCTGGGCGGTGCATGTCAGGACCAAGAATGAAATGCCCTGATTTCCACTTTTTATGTTCCATTTTCTCTTCCATCTGATTCTCCAGTATTGGGGAAAACCTATATACTCACTATATTCCTATATATATATATAGATACAAATGATAGCTTCCATTGCATTTTCCATGTTCTTTTCCATAAGATTCTCCATTATTTGGGTTAAAAATCTTATATCATCCCCATACGACCCTATATGTATATATATATATATACGTACACATCAATAATAGCTTCCATTTCATCTTCTATGTTCTTTTCCATTCGATTCTCCATTATTTGGGGGTAATAGCCCCACATAATTCCTACATGTTCCTATATATATATATACATAGTAGCTTCCATTGTATTGTCTATTTTCTTTTCCATGTATTCGGGGGTAGTACCCCTATGTAATCCCCATAGAAACCCTGTATCACATGGAAATTAAGCTTTGAGGAGTAACCCTAAAAACCCCTAAACCCCACACCCTAAACCCTAATCCGGTCTTTTTTCAAGGAGATCCCAGCTTAAAGCTAAGCTTGCTGAGTTTGATTCGCGCTAAGCTTCATCGGGTTTGTGCAGAAGCTCTTATATAGAGCTTTCCATGGCTTTTCCGAAAATAGGGGTACCATTTTTGGGGGCTCCCTATAATCAGGATCACAGTGTTTTGGGGTCTTTATTGGTGGATAGTACGGGTAGGGAACCAGGGACTATAGCCCTCATGGAATCTCCACATGAGATATTCCCGTATTCCCTACTAACCCTAAGCCCTTAGCCCTATATGTCTGTATACATGTTTGCATATATGTCTATGTCTTCCCTCATTCCCTAGTAACCCCACCCAGACCCCCTAATGGATCCAAAAAATGGAGCCCCACCAAAATGACCCCCCATCTGTACATTGGGGAAACTAGGTGATTCTTGGGAGGTTCCATTTTTTGGATCCTTCAGCCCCATAAACCTTAAACCCTAAACAGTAGTTTCAATTTTCTTTTCCATTATCCGTATATAACCCTTATGGCCCCATATGGAGGGTCTGAGCAGA